GAGGATATCGAGCCCGTCCACTGATATACAGAAATGGTAAGGGAGGATCCCCAAGAAAATGCTTGGATATGGATCAGAAATTAATCAAATCAAAGACAGGTAGATCTGTCATTCTGGTCAGGGAACTTTAGATGATAATGGCATAATATTCAAGTCGATAGCTCTATCAATCAAATCCCTTGAACCATAATGTTGGTTTGCTTAAGACACCTTCAGAGCAATTACCAATTTTTAAAATGTATAGTTGCATCCACAAGTCAGCCTCCTATTTTCAGATGTTCATTCCTTAATTTGTTTCTGTTACTTGTCAGAGTAAAGGGGTACAATGGTGTTAATATCACTCTATAGGACTTAAAAGCTGATGTATATTTAACCAAAGAGAATGTATGGCTTTAACTATCTTGATCTACTTGAACTCAAGCAACCAAGAGCTGGTTTTTTTGCCACTCAGGTTTGAATTTTGCAGCTGTATTAACTTACTGCATGGCATACATAAGCCACTCAGCTCGGCCAGCTGCAATAGGATATATCAAGGGTAACTGCAAGAGAGTTACATTCTATTTAAAGTGCTTTGTTTCAGCTTATTTTCAGTAGTACATTCCCTAGTCAAGTTATTTGTTTCGGTTTCTTGTCATAGAAAAGGAAACAGTAATGTTAATTTTATAAAGACCAAAATTTAATTAGCTTTAACCAATAGAAAATATATGGCTTTATCTATCTTGGTCTACTTGAACTCAAGCAACCACGAGCTGGTTTTTTTGCCACTCATGTTTGAATTTTGCAGCTGTATTAACTTACTGCCTGGCATGCATAAGCCACTCAGCTCGGCCAGCTGCAATAGGATATTATCACGAATAACTGCAACAAAGCTAAATCCCCTAACTAATCTATTCTATTAAAAGTGCTTTTCTTCCAGCAGTAAGTTAAATCCCTAATCAAGTTGTTTTTTGTGTTACTTGTCACAGAAAAGGCGACCAATAATGTTATCAGACTTTAAAAAGTTGATTATATTCAATCAAAGACAATGTAAGGCTTTGTCTATCTTGATCTGCTTGAACTTAAGCAACCAAGAGCTGGTTTTCTTGCCATTCAGATTTCATTTTTGCAGCTGTAATAACTTACTGCCTGGCAATACATAAGCCATTCAGCTCGGCCAGCTGCTATAGAATATAACAATAGAAACTACGCTGAAGCTAAATTTACTCTATTTAAAGTGCTTTCTCCCCTCCCCTTTTCCCTTCAGTTTATAAAACATGCAGAAAAACAATTTCTCAGGATTAAATCATTCAAAAGATTAGATCTTAAAATTTACATAAGAAACTGAGAAGCCCAGAACACAGTCCTGTTCTGTTTCATTACTTCTGCATGATGTCAAAAACCTAGATACCACAGGGAAGAAGCCTCGTGTTCAAAGCATGAAAATAATCCATTTGATGAACAAGCATATTACATTTATAACGTACCTGAAGTTCGTCTTCGGAAGTCTTACAATGCAACTTTTGACCTTTTTTGCCAATTATAACTAAAGTAGGCATTTTCAAGACTCGAGCCAACTGAAGTAAGCAGGCCAACTCTTCGTGGAAAATCTGCAACGAAGGGGGTGGGCCTTGCAAATTCGTGATCAAAGCTTTAGTAAGACCACTGGAGACACCTACTTGCAAACCATAAACTGAGATGTTGTCAACTCCAAAGGAAGTTCTATTTTCCATCTTAAGCTTGGTGTCAGCCACAAAGAAAGGGGCTACAATTGTGGGCATATTTGATGACCCATCTCCTACTAACAATGAGAGAACCTCATTGAGAGCGCAAGCAAGTGTTGGAGGCTTGTAATTTTCCAAAAGCAACACAGACACCTTAGAAAAGGAAGGAAAAAAAACATCAAACCTTGGTCTAGAATTCCCAAGAGCAAAATGCTAAACCAATTCCTTTTTTATTCAATGAAACTAATTTAAATATTTTCTACCAAAACAGAGAAAATGACTTCCTTCAATTACAAATATCCCAACTCTCACTTTGCATCACTTCTTTAAACCTACAAATTTTGGCAATAAAGTCAAAAAAATAATTAAGTGCGGTGTTCGGACCAGCTTGCACGTACCTCCTCGACTATTCCACCAGGCAGGGCCGGCTTATGTGGAGTAAGGCGTGTGTCTTAGGCCCCAAATTTAGGGGGGCACATTTAAAAAAAATAATAGGTTAGGTATTTAAAAAATAATACTTATTTAGTATTTTTAATACAAAACTAAAGTTTTTAATATAAAGGAAAGAAAACTTTTTAGATATATAAATAAAATAATAATTTGACTTACTTAAAAATGTGTAGATTAATAGTTTTCATAACTTTTAGTTTTTCATTTTTCACTCCTTCATTCAAAATTTTGTTCTCTCTTCCTTAATTTGTCCAAGTCAATCTTTCTTTTTTCCAATCTCTTCATATTTCAGAAAAACCTACATAGTTTTTGTATTTCTCTGTGATATTCTTACCTCTGTTTTAAAAGGCGTTTCCGGGACGAGCCCCGGGGCGAGGCGTACCAAAAACGCCCCGGGGCGATGGTGTGAGGCGAAAGTCTCAAGAGGCGTACGCCCCGCAATTTGGGGCGTAAGGCGAAAGTCTCAAGAGGCGTACGCCCCGCAATTTGGGGCGTACGCCCGGGCGTTCGGGGCGTACGTCGGCCGTTCAGGGAGCATTTTTTTAGTAAGGAGTAAGCCCTAGAGACTTTTTCAAATTAAAACAAAATTTGTTGAATTAGTCCTTCATATAATACCCAAATTCTCAAAAGTCAGTTTGGTAATTACTCAAAAAGTTTAAAAAGAAACTCAAAAGTATTAAATTTAAAAGTAAAGACTTTTTTTATTGATTTAAGCCCTAATTCATGGTTTTCCCAATTTTTTATCTTGTCCGCTAGTCCACTAATATCTCCCAAAAGCAACGAATATTTAATTTTTTTTACAAGTAGAAAGAGAACTACATTTTTCTTCATAGCAGCAAATTCAAAGTTCAAATTGCAGGTTAATCATACTTTTTGTTCCTCCATATATAAAACTTTATTCTTTTAGACTCAAATTACTTGTGCTTGTAAGTAACGTATAATAGATTGTTTTGATTAGTTTTTTTGTGGGGATGGAGCACACATATATATAGTTTTCTTCATTTTTTATGCAATTCTACCTGTTTATAAATATTAAATGTCATTATATTATTTTATAAAATATTAAAAATTAAATACCTATGGGGCTTACGCCCCGCTGATGCATATGTAAAATGCCTCGACTTACGCCCCGCTGATGCATATGTAAAACGCCTCGCCTTACGCCCACGCCTTTTAAAACACTGATTCTTACTCACTTCTTTCTCCAAAATTTCATTACTCACCTTCTTTCTCCAAGATTTCACTAGTTCAAGTGTTCAGCAGTACTTTTAAGCATCCAATAGTTATATACTTCTATTGCTTTATAAAATATTATCTAAGATCAACAATATCTCAAGAAAAATTAAATATGTTGGCTATATTATCAATCGATCAAGAATTATTAGAGAAAATCAATTATAAAAAAATTATTAACATTATATCTCAAAAAGTTAGAAGAATAGACTTATAACTTTCTTTTAAAAATTTAGACCTCATATTAAACTTTGAGCTTGAGCCGCTAGTGCCACCAGTTACTTGATAACTCCCACCAACACATGTACAGGGTAACTACACGCTATCACTTAAACCATATTCTTATATATTGTCACATTCACCTTGTAGAAGACCTATTTTTACACATATAACCAAGGACTGAAAAATGTATCCAAAATACTGAAAATATACAGAAAATGAAAAACATTTCCCCTATACCAGATGCACTCAAAGGGAAAAAAGTACCTCGTAGAGATTTGAGCCATCGAGAAAATGAACAATCTCGACCGAAACCTTTTGATCTTTGATTCCGTAACGTTCTAAGGATAAATCCAGCGATTCTTCTCTGCAATGAAATCAATTGTATGAAAATATATTCAATTAAAGGGGAGAGGGAGACCCGGGGGGGGGGGGGGGGGGTTCGGTGCTTACCGCCTTCGGAGGTTGGAGTTAGCGTTAGGTTGAAGAGCTTCGAAGATGGCGGTGCCGAAGCCGCTAGTATCTCTGAACAGTAGTATTACTCTAGGGGCGACCTTCATTTCTTCTACTGCAATGCAATGCAATGCCCTAGATCTACCACTGGACGCCTGTTTATAGTATTGGAAAAAGCTTTATTGTATAAATCAAATAAATGCAAAACATGACATTTTTATGCAAACTTTAACTATTTAAAAACTTGTTTTTAGTTTTATAACCTACGTCTTTTCTTACACATAAAAAAATTATTTTTACACGTAAGATAGCTATATTTTACACATATAAAATAATACCAAACTTTTGGATTTTTTGCCCAAAAGCATCCCTTAACTATACCTCAAACTTAAACTACATTCCTGTATTACCATAGTGGCCAAAATAAAAATGAGCTTCTGACATAAGTGGCCACTCGGCCAAAACATATATCAGTTGATGCCCATAGTTTTACATTATAATTTGTAGCTAAAAATAAATAACATATGCTAACCAACAAATAGTTTTCGTGCTCATGATAATACATTGAAGAAATATGCATCCAAATTCACATTCTCGATTGCAAATACTTTCCAACTTTCGAGAAAGATTTATGTTATATATTGGACGTACACTCAATTTAATGAACTAGTATTAGCGTACGCGCGTTGTGCGTGCTTCTCGTGTTAATAAAAATAATTTTTTTTAAATAACATTCAAAAGACATGTTTATAGTATACTATAAAAATTAACAAAAATTTGCAAGCTCCAAAATAAAAAATATTAATCATATTTCTCTTACTTGCTTTATTGTCAAAAAAGTCACATAGTAGTGTTTGATTGAAAAGTAAAAAGATCGTTCAACTTTACTTGAGGACTTGGGTACGTGCATTGCATGTATATTTCATATTACTTATTACAAAATTTGTGTTGAGAGAATTTACCAACAATTGGAAAAATGTACTCATATTTTACTCATTTTACGGTACTGGTATAGCCTTATTCTATTGATACCATGATAATCGCATAGGCATCCGAACTCGATTATTATTAAGAACTCTTATAAATTTTTTGCTCCATTGTTATCTTATTTGTACAAAGAAATAAGAATAGGAAAAGGAAGTACTTTAGAAAAAAATCATAAGTAAAATATCCCATTCCTCAAATGTACGTACATAGCCATTCTCTATCTCATTAAAATATCTTCTATATTGATCAACTTTTTTACAGTTTAAAATAATTTTACATTTAAAAAAGATTATCATATAATTATTTCCTAATATATATTTTTTTGAAACATTATTTCTTAATATTTAGACAATCAAGTGTATAAAAAATTTGAGTATACTTCAAATTCTAAGTCCTTATTGTTCAAAGAAAAAAGAACGACCCAACGCTCTTTAAAGTCTAAATTCATGCCACCTCAGTATGAATTATCATTAATGTTCCCATTTTTTAAATCAAAAGTTTAATTTACTCTTTTTCTATGAAAAGTAACATATAAGAATTATAATTACGTAACATATATAGTTCAAATAAGAACAAGATTTTTAAGTAAGGTAAAATTTCAATCGACTTTAAAGTCCTAAATTTTAGGAATTTCTGCCTAGTTCAAATGGGAAAAGATTTAATAGCAAAAATCTTAGAAATATTAGGTGAATAATTAAATGACTATTTTGTCTAGTATGAACTCTATTTTTAAAGGGTAAAAAAGGCGAACAACATTTTGCTAAGGAGATTCGTACTTTTAATATAGTATAAATAGATATATATTTGTTACACAATCTTTATAATTTAACAGGTTATAGTAAATTATGTACGACTTTTGCTAATAATATTATTTCAAATAACAAAAATAATTTTTTTTGTAACCAACTATAGTAAAATTAGACTATTACATAAGTACTCAGCCTCAAAACATCTTGTAAGAAAAGGAACTAATTATAACTCTTACACAATTCGAATGCTGAAATAAAACAAAATATTTTAGAATCCTAACGTACTAGTAATAATTAAACTACTACTAAAAAATCAACTAAACCTACTAATAAAGTACGAAAAAGTACTATAGTAAATCATTAATCTTCATGCTTTGAAGTCCGGAAATATCTGGATGTCTACTAGCAAAATAATCCTCCGCAGAAGGATTGCCAAATAAAAGTGAGGCCAAGTCTCACACAAAGTGCAATTGCAGAGATTTTGACGAATATATCTAACATATGTGGTAAACAATTTGGTGGTTTTAATGCAAGGGAAAACATTATAAATTTCTATATAAAATAGTATTGGATAGATAAGGTTAAGGTAAAAGAATAATATATACATTTTTATACATCATACAACAGTCTATACACGTTGGATAGATAAAAGTGTATGGGATACAAAATACATACAAAATAGACTGTCACTATACAAAATAGACGGTCACTATACAATAAATATACAAAATAGATTGTCACTGTACAATTTATATATAATAGACTGTCACTATACAAAATATATACAAAATAGACTGTCACTGTACAAAAAATATACAAAATAGACTGTCACTATACAAAAAATATATAAAATAAACTGTCACTATACAATAAATATACAAAATAGACTGTCACTATACAAAAAATATATAAAATAAACTGTCACTATACAAAAAATATATACAATAAACTGTCACTATACAATAAATATACAAAATAGACATTTCGGGCTATTAAATGTAATATGTTTGGGTCGGAGGGTCATTTTGTGTCAATGGAGAAAAATATGGTGTATTAAAATTTTGAGGGGCTATAGAGGGTCATTTTCTTAAAAATATTCCCTCAACCAGGATCCAGGATTCGACGGTCACAGAGCACCATGACACGCAATATAAATTTATCACTGCTCATAATGATTGGTACGGACCTATGCTAATATCTAACTATTTTTTAAAGATATTTGTCAGTACACTCTCCGTTCACTTTTACTTGTCACGTTTTGACTTTTCACGTCCCTTAAGGAATAATAAATGAAGTGCATAATTTATCATGATACTCATATTAATAGATGCATATTTTTAATATTTTTGAGAAAATGATTTGAAATGAGTAATTAATGTTGTGTGTATAATAGGAAAAAGAAAATTGTCTTCTCTTGATATGCTAAAAGTGACGAGGAAAAGTGAAAAATCTATTTTTAGAATACTAGATAAGTAAAAGTGAACGGAGAGAGTATATATGAAGCTTTTGTCAAAGTTTTCGGATGCCCGTTGATAGTAGGATATATTTATGCAATTTAGACATTATTTACACTCCAATTTAGCTGCACTTTATTGATATTTGAATGCTAAAAGATAACAAAATGCTCGAATTAAGAATTTGATGTTTTGCAGGAGCTACTCCGAGCTAGGAGGGAGCTAATGAGTGTTTTGGAGTCAACATGGAGTATGGAAGGCCAATCGAAGGTTATCCCGGTCGAAAAGGAGCGAGAAAAGCAAGTGAGACGACCCCTCCGAGTGCGCGGCCGCGAAGTGGGCCGCGAATTGGCCGCGAACTCAAGGCAGTGAGGCAGTGGAAATCTGCGGCCGGATCCGTGATCGAATCCGCGGCCGCGGACGGGCTGACGAAAGCCAAACACGCAGGGTTAATTATGTAATTTTCTAAGCGACTAACCTAAACCTATATGCAGCCAAAACTCGCCCAAAAGTCAGATATAGCTGGTTTTAGAAGATTTTAGAGGCAAGAACAAGGGGGAGAAGACGGATAATTTCCTAAGAGTTTTCATCTTCTTCTTCATACTTCTATTTATTGATTATGAATTATTTTAGTGCTTTGTTTTCCATTAGTATGAGTAGCTAAATACATTATCTAGTGTGATGGAACCAATTGTTGGATGAAGTTTTGACTCTATTTTGTTATAATTGAGTCGTGTTTATTCTATGATTGTTCAATTACGTATTGTATTGTGGTTAATTGAAAGGGCCCTTGATTAATCGTGTCTAGTTACCTTGTGTTGCTTGAGAAAGAACACTTGGTTAGATTGTTGTTGAACACCACCACTTTTGGGTAAGTTAAGAGATTAATTACTTGAATTTAAAAGTGGGGTTAGAAATAACGAAACTTTGGTGGGATAATTCTGAGTTGCTTAAATTGTTAACTAGAGTAGTTCGAGAGAATGCTTCTAGTAAATTATCGTAATTGATCGAGAGATAATTACGGTGGCCCGGAAATCATAATCCTCGTAGAGTATTACGGCGAGATTATAGCTAAAGGTTTAAGGATTAATCCGGCAATTAGGAAACTCAATAGCCCTAGATCCTTTTACCCTTGAATCAATTTTAGTCTTGATTATTGCTAATTTTATTGTCATTTTTCCTTAGCTAAATAAATTTCACAGATTATTCATAAAACTCTTGCATCCGGAAGTTGTCTGAGCTTATCATTAGCATTATTTAAAGTTGTAGTAAATATGTTAGTTCCCTGTGGGATTCGACTCCGGACTTGAACCGGATTATATTTGCAGCGACCGCTTAATCCTTTTTATAAGGCATAGTTGGGCGTGATCAAATTTTGGCGCCGTTGCCGGGGAACTAATGGTGTTATTTATTACAACTTAGAAGGATTGCTTGTATTCTTAGTTTAGATCAATTTCTTACGGTGTTTAAATTTTTCCATTGAAATTCTTACGCTTGAATTCTCCTGTGACTCAGGTGTATGCCTAGAAGCTCTTCGAGGACTGGTGAACTTTTTGAAGGACTCTCAGACCCCGAGGAAGCATTCAGGGCATTAAATCGAGCCAACAAGAAGAACAAACAGTTACAACAAAAAAAAAACTCGAAATTGAAATGGATAACGTGGACGATGTCAACGGAAACAATCGAAATAATCGGGTTGACCCAAACAATAGAGTGGTGGCACCTCTTGTGCCAGAAGCTGCTCTTTATGATTGGGCATAACCAACTGCTGATAACCTGGCCACCGCCATTGTTGTACCTCAGATACAAGCGGAGACATTCCAGATCACCAACAATATGTTGCATCTGTTGTAAAATAATACACTGTTCTCCGAGTCATACATTGAAGACTCACAACAACATCTGAAGAATTTTCTATCAATATGTGTGACCCAAAGACAGCCGAATGTGACTCCTGAATCCATCAAGCTATTACTGTTTCCATTCTCTGTGACGGGAGAGGCTCAAACTTGGCTGAATTCGTTCCCAATAAACTCCATTGTCACTTGGGAAGAATTAGTCAAATAATTCTTAAACAAGTTTTATCCTCCCAACAAGTCTACAAGGCAGATTGATGAGATATTGCAGTTCAGGCAGAAACCAACTGAGACCTTGAAAGAAACTTGGGAGAGGTTCAAAGGTATGCTAGTGAAGTATCCACACCATGGCATTCCAGATCAGATGCTGGGACAGAGATTTTACATGGGTTTAGCAGACAGTTTGAAGGCCAATGTAGATGCTTCAGCTGGGGGTGCATTTTTTAGCAAGACATTCACAGAGTGCAAGATTCTTCTTGACAAGATGGCTCAAAATTCAGGCTGGATGACTAGAGGTACGACACTTACACCAATAGTGCATTCTGTTGCTCTTGACCCAAACAATTCCCATGCAGAGAACATAGCCACTCTCGTGACTCAGATGGGCATACTGACAAAGAAAATTGATGAGATAGGTACAAAGCAAGTGCACATTGTTGATACAACAAATAGAGGATTGTGCACTCCTTGCATAAACCAGTCATATGTGTGCTTATGGAGTGGAGAGAATGATAACCAGGGCTTCAGAGAAGACATGAATTATGTCAATAATTTTGGAGGTCAGAGGCAAAGTGGGTAACAATGGGGACCCAACCTGCCACAACACAACCCCAATTCTGGATGAGCACGACCATAAGGTCAAGTTGTACCTTATCAAAGGCAACATGGCTATAATCAGCAACATTAGCAATAGTTAGCCTACCAACCACCTCATATACAACAGGACATCAACATGGTAGAAATCAGGGGCATGCTGTAACAACTCGTTGGAACAAATGGCAAGATGTAAGAAAAGTTAGCAGCATATGATTCAGCAATCAAAGGTATTGAAACTCAGCTGGGACAACAGTCTATGGACTTGAACAATCACCCCCAAGGAACATTGCCTGCAGATACAAATATTAACAAACCCAAATCAGTTAATGGCAGTGCGTCTCAGGAATGGAAGAAATTTAGACAGAGAGCAAGCATTTGCTCAATCTAGGAGAGAGACTACGCCAACTACTCCTGTTACATTAGAGGCAGATGGGTCAGCAGAGCTCACTGAGGTGGTAGTTGAACAGGCACAAGTTGACAAGGGTAATGAGAAGGAAGGTGAACAAGTCTTAGAACAGGTGGCACCTTTTGTGCCAGAAGCTTCCAACAAAGAAAAGATATTAAGTAGTGGACAGAGGTTGACTCATGTACCATTCCCTCAGATATTAGCAAAACAAAAGAAAGATGATCAATACAGGAAATTCATGGAAATGCTTTGACAAATTCAATTGAATATTCCACTGATGGATGCTTTGAGGGAAATGCCATTGGATGCTTTGAGGGAAATGCCAGGGTATGCAAAAATGATGAAGGACCTGATGTCGCAGAAATTTGACTTCCAGGACCTGTCCACTGTAACTCTGACACAGACCTGCAATGCGGTAGTGACAAGACCTATGGCCCAAAAGGTGTCTGATCCAGGTAGCTTCACTATCCTATGCACTATTGAGAGTTATGCTTTTGCTAAAGCATTGTGTGACTTGGGAGCTAGCATAAAATTGATGTCGTTGGCAATCTATACAAAACTGGGCATTGACAGAGCTAGACCGACCTCAATGTTGATGCAACTGGCTGATCGCACAGTCAATAGACCGACAGGAATTCTTGATGATGTGCTTGTGCAAGTGAGGAAATTTGCATTTCCTGTAGACTTTGTTATTCTTAACTATCAGGTGGATGAAGAGATACTCATCATTCTGGGAAGGCCATTCTTGGCCACTAGGAGAGCATTAATTGATTGCGAGACTGGAGAGTTGAAAATGAGGTTGAACAATGAAGAAATAATATTCAACGTTCAACAATCCACGAGGAGACCCAGTGAATTTGCAAACTGCTCACTAGTGGAGGCTGTGGATGTGATACTGCAAGAAGAGGATGAGACCCTTAATGTCAAGGATCCACTAGAAGCCTGCTTGATAAATTTGGTAGAGATGGACGGTGAAGGGTTGCAGAGTGGGTCATAGCTCTCGAAGGTCAACGATTCTGGAAAAGGGAACCTCAGTTCGAGCCCCTACGCTTAGAAAAGAGAGCAATACCACCTGCAAAACCATCAATAGAGGAGCCACCACAGCTGGACTTGAAACCGCTTCCAGCCCACCTTAGGTACGCTTTCTCGGGGCCTAATTCTACTTTGCATGTTATTATATCATCTGGTTTGCTAGTTGTGTAGGTAGAGTAACTATTGCAAGTATTGCAAGAATGTAAGACTGTCATTGGGTGGACCATGTCAGACATAAAGGGTATCAGTCCAGCCTTTTGCATGCACAAGATTCTTCTGGAAGATGGGCACAAACCTTCCAGGGAACATCAACTACGGCTGAACCCGAATATGAAGGAAGTAGTAAAGAAGGAAGTGATCAAGTGGCTGGATGCGGGGTATCATCTTCCCCATCTTTGACAGCAACTGGGTCAGTCCTATCCAATGTGTGCCGAAAAAGGGAGGAATGACGGTCGTACAAAATGAGAATAATGAGTTGATCTCGACTCATACAGTCACGGGGTGGCAGATTTGTATGGACTATCGGAAACTGAACACAGCCACTCGAAAGGACCATTTCCCCTTGCCTTTCATTGACCAAATGTTGGACAGGTTAGTCGGGCGGTCCCACTTTTGTTTCTTGGATGGATACTCGGGGTATAACCAGATCTCAATAGCTCCGGAATACAAAGAGAAAACATTTTTCACTTGTCCATATGATATCTTTGCCTTTCGGAGAATGCCCTTTGGACTTTGCAATACACCGCCTACAATCCAGCGGTGCATGTTAGCAATTTTCACTCACATGGTGGAGGATATTATGGAGGTGTTTATGGATGATTTCTCTGTGGTGGGGGATTCATTCGAAGATTGTCTTCACAACTTAAGAAGAGTGCTCAAAAGATGTGTGGAGACAAATTTGGTGCTGAATTGGGAAAAGTGCCATTTTATGGTACAAGAAGGAGTAGTGTTGGGGCATCGAGTGTCCAGCAAGGGCATTGAAGTCGACCATGCCATGGTTGATGTGATTGATAAGCTGCCACCGCCCACTTCGGTAAAGGCAGTGAGAAGTTTCCTTGGGCACGCCGGGTTCTATAGGCGATTCATTAAAGATTTTTCCAAAATTGCTAACCCCTTATGTAAGCTGCTTGAAAAGGATAGGCCCTTTGTGTTTTCTAATAATTGCAGGTTAGTTTTTGAGGAGACGAAGAAGAGATTGGTGACTGCACCTATCATAGTTGCATCCAACTGGAGCAACCATTCGAACTCATGTGCGACGCCAGTGATTATGCTATAGGAGCAGTCTTGGGGCAACACAAAGACAAGATAATGCACCCGATTTACTATGCAAGCAGGATGTTCAGTGGTGCACAACTCAATTGTACTGTAACAGAAAAGGAAATATTGGCTGTAGTGTTTGCCTTCGACAAATTCAGGTCGTACTTAATTGGTTCAAAAGTTATTGTTTATACTAACCATGTAGCAATTAGGTACTTGATAGCAAAGAAGGAGTCAAAGCCACGCTTGATTCGCTGGGTTCTTTTACTACAAGAATTCGATATGGAAAGCCGTGACATAAAGGGGACGGACAATCAAGTGGCAGACCACCTCTCAAGATTGGAAGGAGCTGAAAAGAGAATGGAGGTTGAAAACATAACAGAGATATTCCCGGATGAACAGTTACTTGCTGTGACAATGGAGGAGACGCCATGGTATACTGATATTGCTAACTATTTAGCAAGCGGTATTGTACCTTATGAACTCTCCTCAATTCAAAAGAAAAAGTTCTTCCGCGATTGTCGAGCCTATTATTGGGACGAACATCTATTGTTTAAAATATGTGTAGATAACATGATCCGGAGATGTATCCCCGAGCAAGATCAAGCTTCTGTTTTGCAGGCTTGCCATGCTTCACCATATGGTGGATACTTTGGAGGAATCCGGACAGCAGCAAAAGTGTTGGAATCGGGATTGTATTGGCCTACCCTATTCAAAGATGCACATGCTTGGGTCAAAAGTTGCGATGAATGCTAAAGGACAGGCAACATATCTCGCCGTCACGAGATGTCGATGACCATAATTCAAGAGGTGGAGGTTTTCGACATGTGGGGGATCGACTTTATGGGGCCGTTTGTCAGCTCGTATGGTAACAAATATATATTGGTAGCAGTTGACTATGTCTCCAAGTAGGTCGAAGCGGTGGCTCTCCCGACCAATGATGCAACAGGGGTAACAAGTTTCCTAAAGAAAAACATCTTCACACATTTCGGCACCCCGAGAGCTATAATCAGTGATAGTGGAATCCATTTATGTAATAGAGTGTTCTCACGTCTGTTGGAAAAGTATGGAGTTCGCCACAAAGTAGCCACACCGTACCACCCACAGATGAGCGGGCAAGTTGAAGTGTCCAATAGGGAAATTAAAAGTGTCCTGATAAAGACAGTGAATGCAACAAGGACTGATTGGGCGAAGAAGCTGGATGATGCATTATGGGCATACCGTACAACATTCAAAACTCCAATTGGTATGTCACAGTACAAGTTGGTACTTGGAAAGGCATGCCACCTTCCGGTAGAGCTCGAATATAAAGCACTTTGGGCACTGTGGCAGTTGAATCTAGATATAGAGACCGCAAGCACCAGCAGAGTCACTGAGTTACATGAGCTCGAGGAATTCAGGTTCCATGCATTTGAGAATGCTAGATTATATAAAGAAAAGATGAAAATGATCCGTGATAAGTACATTTTAGATCGAAACTTCAAGCCCGGAGATCTAGTGTTGTTATACAACTCGAGATTGAGATTATTTCCGGGTAAGTTGAAGTCCTGATGGTCAGGACCCTTCAGAGTGGTGCAAGTGTTCTCAAGTAGAGCCGTAGAGATTGAATCTGAATATGGGACAAACAAGTTCATGGTAAATGGGCAAAGGTTGAAACATTACCTTGAAATGGTCGAAGAGAAAGGGGATAGAGTGGTGATAACTTTGGTAGAGCCCCAGTACGCGAACGAGGAGTGATAATGAAAGCATGCGTCGTGCCGCGACGTTAAATCAGGCGCTTCTTGAGAGGCAACCCATTATTTTTCTTACTTTGGTTGTTGTAATTGATTTTGAACGACTTTGACCGATCTACTAGTGTGCAGGGCAAAAGATTATGTGCATAAGAAGGATTCAGGGGTCAAAATTAACCCGAGAATAGGTAAAAATGCGGCAAAGACAAAACAAATTGGCTGGAGACGAAGATCCGCGACCGCGAATTGGACCTCAAATTTTGGCATGTGTTCTGTCCCCTGTCCGCGGGTGCGAATTGGACCGTGGATATGGCCACAGATTTTGGCCAGTGTTTTGTCCCCCGTCCGCGGCCACGAATTGGACCGCGAATTGGGGCGCGGAGTTTTGGTCCCCCTCTGCCCAGAATCCGCGACCGCGGACGAGATCGCAGATCTGGGCGAGGATATGGGGCATGTCCAGGTAAGTTTTTTTTTCCTATTTTTAGTCAATTTTGTTTTTTATTTTTCCCTAACTTAAACGCCCACCACCCCCACTTCCCTTCCCATTTACCCCCACTTCTCTTCTTTCCTTCCTAACTTCAAGTCCCCAAAACCTTCTCCTTCCCCCCACAACTAAAATGCCCCCTCCTTTCCCCCATATTTTCCTTTCAACACAAGACTCTTCTCCTTCTTTCTCTTCTCCACTTAACCAATCTCCAACCTCCATTGTTTTCAAGATCTCCAAGTAAGTACATGATTTTATTCCTCTTTCTTTTCAATTTTTTCCCTTGCTATTGTATGTATAGGGTAGTAAAATTATAGGTGCTTTTGTTTGGGATTTGGATTGTGGTTTATATGTGGTATATGAAGGCTATTTGAATTGGTTCATTTGGGGGAAGCCATTGTTGGGTTTGTGAGGAACGGTAGTCTAATTGGGTCTTTTAGGTGACTTGGGGGGGACATATGCACACTACCTGTTTGTTGATTTGCCTTAATGAGTGTTGAATATAAATTATGACCAATTGTGCATGTGAAGTCTGAGTAACCGCCGTTGGGTCACATATTCCGCTCTCCACTGATAGTAGTATTTATTGTGTAGGTAACATGAAACCTTCAAGGAAGAGACGCACTACCGGAACCTCATCAAGTGGTCATGGAGGCTCCTCTCGGGGATGGGCACCAGCCAGTGCAGCTTCATATGATCGCACCAAGTTCGTCTCCAGAGCTGCCCAGGACCGGTTTAGTTTGAAGGCTACTAAGAAGCCTGTACCGGAGAGGGTATTGATAGAGCATCTCTCCTAGATGACTGCCCTAATATGTATCGAGAGTTGATCAGGCGTGGGTTGGACAGCTTCTTCGAAGAACCGGAGGAAGGTAACTTGATGCTTGTCCAGGAATTTTATGCCAATTACCCCGAACATGAGGATAGAATTTGCACTGTGCAGAACACGGGGGTGAATGCCTCTTTAGAAGCCATCCGGAGAGTATATCGCTTGCCGATTTTCGATGGGGAGGAGGATTTCTATGATACCTATAAAAGAGAACCCATCACATGGCACAGGTTTTTTCGAACTATCTATGTACCTGACAAAGATGTCCTGTGGGTGGTGCCGAGTAAGATCTTGCATTCTGCCTCGCTCATTTTTAAAGGCAAGTACTGGTTGCACATCATCAACAGTCAATTGCTGCCATCCCACAACACCGCTGAGGTTAATGGACCTAGAGTTGCTTTGATCTAGTGCTTCGTGAATGGCCACAATTTTGATGTGGCCAAGGTTATATAGTATGAAATGTACGTCCGTTCACCATTGAAGAGGTATGGATTCTTTTTTCCCTCTCTGGTTACAAGATTTATGTCGGGCAGCAAGGGTGCCTGAGAACCCAAATGCGAATGGCAAGGTCAGGAGAGAAGCTAAGTTCCGAGCAGACAAAGTGACCATCAGGAGAGACCATGTGGCACCTGAGGCGACTCATAGTGACGATTCTGATACGCCGGAGG